AAAATCATTTGAAAAGAGTAGGCGCCGCAGGGATACTCGATGTATGGGTACCCCATAAATTAATGTAAAGAAATTTAATTGAAATTTAATTACTATCAATGAAACGCTGTTAACGAAATCAAACTGTGGTTAAGACGAATCAGCACAGCTCATCTTCTAGTCAGAAATGGACTAAATACAATACAATATCCAACGCAACCCAACATGATCAAACGCCTCCATAAACAACTTAAAAACTTGAATTGACGAGTGCCTGTTGTTATTAAAATTAAATTATCTATTAGGAGCCACTCCATCCTGGTTCTGAAACAACGGTTAATTCGGTCCTCGAACGCTTGAACAAAACAATCAAGGAAAAATTACTAGAATTGACCAGACTTACAGAAAAATTGCTGTGTTTTAACATGACAATAGTAAACCACATACATTTTTGATAGTTCGAAACCAATTGGCAGAACTTGTTTGGGAAGTTTAAATGCATCCACCTTATAGCCCGGACCTTGCACTATCTGACTAGCATTTTTTTCGGTTTCTGCAAAACTTTCTTAACTGTGAAAAATTAACCGATCAAAGTGACATTCTATATCGATGGATTTATGAATCTACCATAAAAATGACAAGAGGTCAAATATTATAATGGTTAGTGTAGGGAAAATTGTTCAAAAATGTAAAAGTATTTTTTCAGACATTAGATATATAAAGTGACATAAGAAGTAAATGTCATAATTTTTCAAATTTACAAAAAAAAATTGCAAAAGCAAAAATATAAAATTTGGTGATTGTAACTTTTAAACGTTTCAATTTATTTTCAATTTACTTATAAAAATAATTCTGTGTTTTTAAACAATTTTATTAATTACTGTTTATACTTAAATAGTTGCAAGTGTTTTCCTTTTTTAAAAAAAGTTTAACAAATTTGGACTTACACGGTTAAGTCCCATTTGCGCATATTTGTTAATCGAATTGCAATAGTGTAAACGCACTGTCAGGAACGTAAGTAATTATGCTGTAGTCATTTTATGCTATGTTTACACTTATTATAATTCAGCCCACATTTGTGTGGATTTTATAAGAAAACCCCTTTTATTACTGCAAATTTGTTAAGTCAATTGCGAGAGCGTAAACGAACTGTTAGATTAAAATAACCAATTTTCGCATAGCTAATTTTTGTATATACATTTTTTATATACACTTAAGTTATCGTTGTAAATAACATACTTTATATTAATGAAATTTTTCACTAAATATTAATATAGTTCTACTTAACTGCAAATTTACTAATATGTATACTTTTATTTCTTTTAATTTCAGTACGGACAAAGAGTTCCCACAGCGGCTTCACCAAGTAACACAAATTCAAGCAGCTCATCAAATACTGGCTCCCAGAGTGGCACATTAAGCACTAGTCTGAGTAATACCAACACAAATACAACAATGGGTCCTACAGGTAATAACGGTACACAGCAACAGGGTGAACAATTGTCAAAAACAAATTTATACATTAGAGGATTACAGCAAGGCACAACAGATAAGGATTTAGTTAGCATGTGCGCACAGTAAGTAACATTTTATGTTCAACTCTTAATATAATTAGTATAAATTACAAATTAATTTTGCCTACTTACGAACAGTAATTAAGATATAAACATTTCATTCGAAGTAATAAATTTAAATTAAATATGTTAGGATTCTTACTTATAATTTAAACTTAATTTTAAATTAACTATTTTCTATATATACTTCATCTGAGGGTTATTTGAATAAACTAGAATATTCTTATATATATGTTTTAAAAAATATGTATTAAAATTATTAAAGATAATTTACCTGTATTTAACAATTTGGTACAAAGTTGGATTCAACAATGTCAGTCATCTGCATGCAAGTCCATTTAAATAAGAGAAATTCTAGTGATTCCTAATAGGAATATCAGTATTGTAGTGACTTTATCCTATAAGAGAATTTTCTCGAAGATTGAATACCGCGTTAATTAATTTCTGTTACGGTTGTGGGTAAGACCAACGCGTACTCAACGATGGTTAATCGTGCCAGAGATTGAGTTTTTATGGAACTTAGTTAGTTCAATACCTTTCTTTGAAAAGTATTTTATGTTTGAGGTTTAAAGTGGTTTTTAAACTCTTGAGTTGTATATAGTAGGACAATGAGGCATTCCAAACAACAAACAAGTTCTCAAACTGTCTGTTTACCACAAACCTCTCTCAAATGATAAAATTTTTGTAATGCAATATAAGAACCTTTTTGTCAACAATTGACGATTAAGTACTACGTCATTACCTATAGAAAATTTATCTACTCTACATGAACTGAACGCACTACTATATCGTCTCTTTGTTTACTCACTTACATCGGATGTAACATTTCATGGTATTTATCACCTTTTCAGAAACCTTGTCTTACCGCATAATTCTTAAGTCATTACATGGCCGTTACAGCTGAGATAGGTTCGCTAAACGTCGTCTGTTTTTCAGTTTTATCTAGTTATTATCATTATCTATTCTTAAGGTCCATGTTATATAGAGTGTTACGTCAAAATTTACTATTTCAGGCTATGAAGACAATGCATATTATGCAGTGTTATATTTTTACTATTACTTTAATACTATTTTGTTGAGCCTAAATTTTAAAGGTAATGTATATATTTATATATAAGACTGCTTTCACTGAGTAATGAGGCACTGAGTAACGAGGCCTCGAATTTAAACTAATACTTTTTTTCTTCTCTCACTCTAATTTTTTTAATTTATATTGAAAGCAACAACGATTTCGATTTTGACGTGCCCGTAATTCTCTACATAACATGGGCCTAATAGTTATATGTGGTATTTTTATTTTTCTCTCTTCTGTTTTTTTCTCTATCAGGCGGTATGAGTTACTTTATCAATTGTTATAATTTTATATCATTATAAAAAAATGTACATTAAAATCAAATTAATTATTTTTTCATTTATCTTACAGATATGGAACAATAATTTCAACCAAGGCTATTTTAGATAAAACAACAAACAAATGTAAAGGTATTTTTTTCTTCACCATTTCTCATCTTTATTTATGTGTTTTTTTTTAATTACTTAAATATTAATTTTGAATTACTGAAAATGTAATAAAATTAATATTTTTTGTGTTGTCCTAATTGTGGTGTGTAATTTTTATTGGCTATTAAAAGTCACATTTAAAGTCTTACTTTTGTCAGTTTTATTTGAACTTAAGTTTATCATACTTTTTATTTATCTATTAATTTTTTCTATGTTTGAAAAATACAAAAACTATTAAATTTTTTACATTTTTCAGTTTTTAATTTATGTTTTTTGTTGTGTCATTAATAAAAAAATGCACAAAGTTTTTTTATTTACTGTCAATAGTTTTTCAAGCATGTTTTTTGCTTTAACTAGTAATTATAATGAATACTGTAGATAGAAACAGTTGCATTATTATAAATGTAACTTAAACAAGGAAAAAAGTTAATAAAAGTCAGTACTTTAATACGTATGTAGTTTAAAATTTCTAATAAAAATTTAAGATAGAACTTTTTACTGAAATAATTGATATTTAATTTAGTTTCAGCTTTGCTCAATTAAGAGGAAACCAACTTTTAAAATTTAAAAACTAATTTTTTTATATTCTTATTAAAGTCAACCAAAGATAAAGTTATACTACAAATTTCGTAACTTCATAAATGTTTGCATTTAGTCAACTTTCTTATTAGTTACTAATTACAACTTTTTTCCTTGTTTTTTATTTATATATATATTTTTTTCCAATATTGCTAAAGTTTCTTATAATTTTGTTTCATTTTTTTTCCTATTGTAGTTGGTAGTTGATGTAGTTTAAAAAGTTTTGCTTTTTATGTATTAATTATGCTTTGATAAATGAACAATAATCAAAACAAAACAAAACAACAACAAAATGTATCTATCTTTTCAGGCTACGGTTTTGTTGATTTCGAATTACCAGCATATGCAGAAGGAGCTGTCAAGGGTCTACAGGCAAAGGGCGTTCAAGCTCAGATGGCCAAAGTGGGTATCTGGGTGCTTCATAGGCCGGCCATTGTACGTTTGTTTGCATGCAAGTAATATTCACCCCTCACCAAATCCCATACTCCAAATTCTTTAGTTTTGTTTTTGTGAACTTAGTACATTACATATTTATTTGTTATAGTAATTTGTTATTAGTATATATATACTTTTTTTATTTTACAAAAACAACAATAACTATAATTGTTTTGAGTATAATAAGTTTATTTATTTTTATTTTCTTTTATATTATTTGAGTTATGTTATTTTAAAATATAAGAATATTACACATACAGTATATAGATTAACTACAAGTTTGATTTGAGATTCTTCCATAAAAATTGTCTCTTAATGATAAGATATTTTATGCAGTTTTAATTGATAGTTTTGTCCACGGCAAGATTTCTACAAGCTCTTCTTTATTAAATAAGTCTTATTTCGGTTAATGTGTGACCCTTTGCTCGTCATAGGATCTACGGAAACTAATGCAGTATAGGCAAATGTGGTGTTTTTGTAGAGATAAAGATAATACTCAAATATTACTTTATCATTTTAAAACGATATGTCATTAGGTTTTATCAACCTCTTAAACATTATGTATGTAAAGTATTGATTTCCAAATTTTGATTGTTTACTATGGAACTCTTAAGATTTGCGTATAAAATTCACAAATTTTTTATAAACATTAAATTAATTACAAAAAAATGCTGAATTAAACATGACATTTTATCACATGTAATGTGATAGGGCATACTACATATGTGAGTGCAGTTCAACTATTCCAGCGCTTGATCTAATTTTATAGAAAGTTTTAATAGTCTTATTAAGTTATGACATTCAACTTCTTAAGAAAGCTTTTTTCCATATCTACAATCTTAACAAGTTATTTTCCAAGTTGTAATTTTAGCTTCTAACACAGAAAAATATCGCGCAAAGACGTGTTAAGTGGGTAAGATATATGGCCCTTCACGTTCGTCAAGTCTTTTGCTAAAACCTATAGCATAACAATGGCTATGTTGAATTCTAGTTGCGCGAAATAGTTCCTATTTATAATACGTATCAAGCAGACTTTATATACCCAGGGAAATCATGTATACTGTAATATGCCTACTTTCGATGCTCTTTTGGAAATAAAATTTGGTACTAATCGACCGGTGATGAATTTTATATTCGATATATCAACTTTCTAATACTCTTAGCCGTTAAAGACAGACCAGAATGAAGCGAATCACCCACCATATTCATTTATACCAATCATATGCTCTCGTTTTTGAAGTTTTTCTGAATATTGAAATTTATCAAAATTTATTGTGAAATCAAGACGTACAGAAAATTAGAAAATCTAATTCACACTATTCATTCATTTATAGCATTCATATCCCCATGTTTTTGAAAAGTTGTACTGAATATTGAAATTGATCGAAATCCATGATCAAATCAAGACACTCAGAAAGTCGGGAACTCCCCCTCTTAATACCGTCTCAACATATTGACCCATTTTTTTACTCCAACTCATAAACTTAGGTACTTCACTGCAAATAATTATTTTTTAATCTATATTAATGTATTTTTATAATGACCCACGTTTCTGTTGAATTTTCATTATGATGTTCTAAGCATATTAGTAAAAATCGAAATAAATTTTACAAATCTTAGTTCCGAAGAAATCATTAATTTTTTTCGAACGAAAATCAAAAAATCTTTTCTGTTTTATGAAATTTCTTACTTAAATTTATATTCATATCGCATAATGACACAAGCTCTATTTGGCATAAATGATTTCATAGTTTCTACTTGTAGAGTATCCATATACATATGGATTTTATTTCAAACAAATTGAAATATCTAAATGCGCTTTGTCTGAAATTTAAGATAAGCAAAAAATTATATTCAGAAACTTAATGTAGATTTCAATTGGATTATCACGAACTGCATTGAAAATATTATTTCAAAATAACATGTAGCATATGAATATTAACTATTACGTTTTAATTGTTTATAGTTTGCTATGTAAATTTTGAGATAAAATATAACATATTCGCAATCAGCTATATAATAAATTATAATTTTTAACATAACATATTAAAGTAAAAAATATTTATAATATTAAACAAGACATATTAGCAATTATTACATATAAAATAATTTTAATTATTTTTTTGTTCAGACAAATCTTTTTTTAAAATACTCTTAAAACCT